TTTTTTTGATATACATACATCGAACAAATAAAAAATAAATAAATTTTTATTTATTAAATTCATCATTCTTCATTTCATATATATATATATAAGTAAGTAGTACATATATGTAATACTTATACAGTAATATATACACTACTACTGTATAAGTAGTATATATATATGTAGTACTTATACAGTAATATAAATACTACTGTATAAATAGTATATATATATATATGTAGTACTTATACAGTAATATATACACTACTGTATAAATAGTACTTATACAGTAATATCTATATTACTGTATAAGTAGTACTGTATAAGTAGTATATATATAGTACATAATATGTATTACATATATATATATATATACTATACTGTGTGTATAATTTTAAATACCACAAAAGAGTTACTCGAAGTATTTAAAGTAATTCACCCTTAGTGTGAATTTCGTAATGTCACTTAGATCAAAGTTATTTTCTAGCAAAATGTATAAGATAGATCGTTTACATTACAAATTACCATTAATAATATATCAGAATATTTCCAATCATATTTCGTTAATTGAATCTCAATTGAAAATAAATCGATGGAAATAGAAATCTGTATATTTGTAATTATTATATCATTTTGTTTGTGTAACATCATATAGATACGTATTACTGCAAATGCTACATCATCCGCCATGTTAATACATAATAATATAATTCGTCGCTTGATGATATCGGATTAGCACTTTTTTTTTTTTTTATCATAGCTAGACAAATACTAGACAATAAACATTAATTATATAGTTGGCCCCTTCCTAAATAGTGTCATATTGTTTAGTGCCTTCCTTAAATTCACTCTTTCTGTTTTTTAAATTTTTTTTTCTTTTTTTTTTTTTTTTTATATATATATATATCTCTCTTTCTAATTATTAATATAAGTTTCTTAATTTTGTATCAATACTCTGTGAAATTTGTATAATCCGTCTATATATCTAAAACAATATATTTTATATATGATGCATACGAAGCATTCAGTAAAATCAATTGGTTGAATTGGAACGAACTTTTTTAAACTGTACCCATTAACAAAATACATCAATATGATTCCAATTATTAATAGATTACACAGAATAGCTATATAACTATATTGTGCATAAACATCAATTATTTCTTGTTTTGCAACTTGTAAAATTACTTTCAAAATTTTCCCTTTCTTTTTTTCTCCCAGCTTTTAACTTAGTTCAAATCCTGCACCAGCTTCTATGGCATATAGAAGTTTTTCACGTAAAGTTTTTTCATTAGGAAAGTCAGGAAGTTTTAAAAGATTCATGCAGGTACTAGAAGTTGGCAAGCGATCTACTGTGCCAGCATGTTGGATACAAAAGGGTGGATCAAGTTCCTGAAATGAAAATCAATCAAACAACAAATTTATTAATAAATCAATTATAATAATACGGATAATGAAACTTCACGAATAATTATATATATATATAAAAAAAAAAGAAACATGTCATACTACCTTAAATCCAAGAAGAGGTGGTCTGCTACAACTCGTAACAAATTTCAACAGTTTACTTTTTTGTTGATCATTAAATTCATTAACAACTTTCCAAAAGGCAGTGATAGTTGGATGATCGGGTGTATATCCTCCGGTGTAATTTGTATGTAATTTTAAATCATTCACATCAACTGGTATTTGTGCTCCCGATATTAATACTTGAAGTTCTTTATTATTAAACATTTGTAACCATTCTAAAGGAACTACACTGCCAATACCTTGTTTGAATGCATAGCATTGTGCCCTAATTTGTTTATTCAATTTATAATCCGCCATCAAATGTATATATTCGATACGATTGTGATTGGTGACAGGAATATTAGCACCACTTGGTTTCAATTCATCTATTCTTTTTTCTCCTAATTCATCGGATAATACAGTAAAATCCAATTCTAAATCAGTAACATCTCCTTTATAACTTTTCAATGATAAAAGATTCGTATACATGATTGGATCCAATGAAGCTAAATGATGAGCATCAACGTCAGATTGAAGTCCAACGATTTTTGATAAGAAAAATTCAGCAAATGGCAATTCTACTAATAAATTTTCGTACAAGGCTTTACCAAGAATTCTGCCAATAAAATAATAATGTTTTTGAAAATCATCCATTAACAAATGTACCGTTGGATTTGGATAGAGCATATTGTCTTTTGTATGTTTAAAAAATCCTCTATTAGGATCAAAACTTGTTTTCAATAATTCTGATAAGAATTCTCTAAACAATCCACCACCATCTACACCAGACTCCTCTAATCCAGCAGTATTAACGAATTGAACGCGCATTTTTAATCTTAATTCTGGTTCATTCTCGGGAGATAATTTTTCAAATGTGTCCTCGTACAAATAATTTCTTCTAACAGTTATTTGTATAGACGGTTTATAAGCAAAATGAGTAAATTCACCTTGCTGTTCGGTTTTATCGTGATAAATTAATGATTGAAATACTACAACACGATCATTGAAAGGTATTACAAAAGGCATCTCACGAAGTAACGTTAAAGTTCTAACTTCTTTTGCTGACAAAGGTGGACCTTCTTTCAAATCTTCACGCGTTAAACCTCTAAGTCCTTGAAATGGTACATAGCCTCTAAGTCTGCGTCTTCGAAATGTAAAGTCTTGTGGTTTATCTATAGGAATGACTATATTTGATGTAATCCAATGATCCGGAGGACAAAATGGTCTTCTTAAATTTCTCGTATGTAATTGACGTAAGAGACCAACGGTAACTTTAAATAAATGTGTCCTTATGTGTGTTACTAATGTCGTTCGCATTGCATATGACGAGCCCAAAGCATTCTTATAATCTTCTCCAATAGTTGGTCTTGTATCTGGAAAAGCAAGTTCGACCAAACCCAGACATACTTCTTTTAAATGAATAGATAATGTCACCAATTCTGACGTAGTAAATGGCATAGCCTGTTGAGTATTGTCGTTTGATAATTGATCTGATTCTTTAATAAAAAATTCGGAATCATGTAACGTTGCTATTAGTAAAGAAAACAATGAACAAAATACATCTAACAATGGTACTATCTTTTTAGAATCTTCCGCAGAAAGAGGTATACCACGTGAAATGACTTGCAATAATGGAGCAGCTCCTCCAAATATCGATGTTTGATGCACCGATAACAATGCTGTCCATAGATATTTTAAAAATTCTGGTTTAAAAGCAAGCATGTACAATAATTTGTACTTGTGTGTAGCTAACTTATTATGAATTAATAAGTTATGACATAATTCACACAATGGTTGTAGTATCGTTAGATCCTGACCTTGATCAAGTATTTGTAGTATTCGATAAACGTGCTGCTGTTCGTTAAGCATGTTGATACATTCTTGAAGAATATCACCTTCTTCTATATCAAGCATACTGGTATTATATTCGTTATCCGAATCTTCCATGTCTTCTACGTTTTCATCGGTGATTATTTCAGCAGGTATAATAGCAGAACTCATTGCAGCGAGAATCTGGAGGTAACTGATTGGAGTAACTTTCAGTTTGGATAAAGCTACATTAAGAAAACAAATTCATAATTAATATATTGTTATTATATATTTGATATTTATTGAAATAATAATGATCCAATTGAAATACTTACTGACTTGTTTTGATTCTAAAGACAAAATTGAATATAATAAACTCAATGTTGGCTCGATTCCCGATTGATTGATACAATTAATTAATTGTATGTATGGAAATTGTGGAAATTCTGCTAAAGCTGGTATAATAAACATTTTGACAGCACTGGACAATTTCGGCAATAATATGTTTTTACAAAATTCTTGTAAAATTAATATATTATGTTCATTATTTCTTGATTCAGTGGAAGAGACTAATTTCAAAGGTCGCTTTAGCATATCTAACAAACATTCTGATATTGGTGTTGGAGCAATTGACGATGTCTCTAACATAGGTGGAACCTTTTTGTCTATTAAAGCTCGTAATTGCTCAAAGTACCTATGTTTTATTAGATAAATGAATATATTGTAAAAATATGGATAACTATTTTTATGTAAGATTTTTTCTGTAGCTTCTTCATCAGTAAAAATTTCCATTGCTCTTAATGTAATGGCCAATGAATATGCTCCACCAATTAATATTTCAGAATCGTATTGCATGCAGATACGAAGAATCCATCTATGATAATGAAAAATATAAATGACACATTAATTATATTATTAATTTAATAATAAATATATAATAATAATAATAATAATAATAAACTAACCTTAACCTCCATAACCATTCGGCACAATGTAAACATTTTAATTTAATTTCCTGTTGATGTTTAAAAAAATGTTGTAATATCAAAATAAGTCTATTTGCGTCCAATGTGCGATTATAAAAAAATAATAATTTTCGAGTTTGCAATTCTAATTCCTCCAAAGTTAAAAATCTCTGTCCAATCGTTTGTTGCATTTTATCAAATTCCGATCTTACGTGCATACGATTTATTTTTCTTATTACATAGCTACGAATATGAGCTTGTATTTTGACAGCAGCATCGTGCCTTTTACGTTGTTGTTGTCTCTTCAAACGTTCCAATTGTGCATGCTGAAGAAATATTGCTTTATCATCTCTTTTGCTAGCACCGGATAAATTTTGTTGCGGTTTACGCCTGTAATCACCTTCGAAGCTATACATTTTCACTTTTACTTATCAGATCAACATTCCTTGTTTAGAAGTTTCTGAAATTCATTATAATAACACTGTTTATTAACAAACCATCATTAAGGCAAAGACATTTGATAAAGTTGTAAATTAAGCCGTATTTATATACTAAATATATAAACTATATATAATTGCATTAAATTACTTTATATATAAGATAAGGCTAGTCTCATTCTTTCACACTTAATACTATTAAGAAAAATTTAGTTAAAGGATTTACTTACGTTTATAGCAACGTTGGCCAATAATAATAAGTTAAAATCATATCATCAATTATCACAAGGGAAATTTTCGAATATATTCTCTCTGACTAAGTTTTTTTTTCCACTAAACCAGGTTAAAAGAGATATTATTATTATATTTATTTTTGTTCGTACGATTAATCATTAATTTGAAGAAATATCTCGATAACGATATATTATTAAGAATATATTTAAACACCTTTTATATGTTAACAAAATATAATAATAATTTACGCGAAATTATAATTATACGTCCACTCATTCAATGCTCGCCATAAACATATTTCAACAGTCATGTTGATCGTGTTGACAACGCGCACGCGTGCCAATACCAGGCTTACCAATCTATAGGTATGCATAAATGCATAATTATACATTTCTACCAACATTCCAAAGCAAATCTGCACGTAACGCTGCATAGAATACGTAGTGCGTATGCGTCACGTCATGTAGCCAATGAAAACATTGAATTGTAAGTCATACTGCACATGCGCGATTATGATTGGTTGATGAATCTAACAAATGGCGGTATTGTAAATTCTATTCAAATTATATCGAGATATTTCTAATAATTCAAATACATATTTGATTATTCTTTCTTTTCTATAAAATAACATACATAAATTGTTATAATTTGTGTTCTTAACTATATATAATAGATTATTATAAATATTTGTCATAATATATTCCATGATATATCATTGCTTACCTTATCAATTACTTTATCTTAATGTATGATAAAATTAAAGATAATTTTACATCATATATTGTTATTTTATGGAGCTTTTATTAAAATAATAAATGTTTCATGTAGTTCCGATACATATTAATGTATTGTTCTTTTTATAATATCGAAGAGAAAGAATACTCGAGCAATATGTCGGATATGCATGAAAATTGTCTGTTTTGTTCGATGATGTTTTTGATCCACTGCAAAATAAATAAATTAATTAATACAATTTCAATCATTGTTATTAATCTAAGAAAAAATTAAACACGTACCTGTTAGAAACTAAAATATTATCTTGTGTAGACCACAAACGAACTATACCATCTGCACTGGCACTAGCAATACGTTGACCATCAAAACTCCAATCAACATTCATGATGGTATCTTGGTGACCTTTAAGTTCAGTTAATAATGAACTAGCTGCTAAATCCCAAATTGCAATAGACTTATCATCTCCTATATAAAACAAAATAAAAATCTATAAATAGTATATATACAATTATAATATATGTATATATTTGTTATCAAGATATTAATATACCAGCAGCAGCTAAGTATTTTCCATCTGGACTAAAAGCTAAACTATAAATGGTCGATTGAGCCCCAACAAATACTCTTAACAAACTTGCATCATCTTTATCCCATAATCGAATTGTTTTGTCAGCAGATCCTGTTGCTAAATAACGTCCATTTGGATGAAATCTTATACTCTGAAAATAAATGTTATTTTTTTGATTATATTGAAAGAATTACTTTTTAACAAATTAATAATTAAATATTAATCAAATTCTACATACATTGACATCTAAAAAATGACCTGCAAATATTCTTAAAGGAAATTTTCTATCTAAAGACCACAATTTTGCAGTTCTATCATGAGATCCAGTTGCTATATATAAATTGAATATACTAGTATCCATACACCATATAGGATAGTTGTGTCCGCTAGAAAAAAAAAAAAAGGAAATTTCTTTATTTAATTCTAAAAAATAAATTATATTTAAAATAAATATTAATTATGTACAATATATATATAAATAATTGCTGTGAATTTGAGCATTTGAATTTCATGACCTGTTTTTTAAGTTTATTGTTTAATATAAAGAAATACGCGTGTATACGAATATTTTCAATAATAAGAATTGTGTATTATCAATATGTTATTATAATGATATATTTTATGATATAATTTTGTGCACTAACGATAAAATATTCAGTATTAAATTACATGCGAAAATAGTCACAAATCAATTCATAATAATAATAATAATAAGAATATATTGTGTTTAAATTATTCTATGCTACTTACTTATTGATTTTTCTCATCATTTTATAATCATACATTAAAATCTTGCAACGTTGAGTTCAAATATATAAGATGAATCTGAAAGTATTTTCTTTTTTAAGGATTATTAATAAATTATAATTAAGTTGTTAATAAAGCAGGTCATATCGTTCAAAGTGCACAAATTCGTTATTACATTGTAATAGAAAAAAAAAAAAAAAAAAAACAGAAAAAATACAAATACAAAGAGTTATTATTAAAAAAAAATATACGTACTTATATACAGCTGCGCAAGTATAATCCCGCAATTCCCATACTCGCATATGTTTATCACTAGATACTGTTAAAAGAAGATCTGAATTTGGAATAAATCGCATATCATGTACTACATCAGTATGTCCTCTTAATACTATCGCTCCTGCTTCATCTTTAAACAGATTGTTTTCACTCCATTTATTTGAAGGTGAGACATTACGAGCAAGACTTACAGATGGTTCTCTAAAATCTGGCTTGACCAGTACCGTGTCACTTGTAGCCCATAATCTAACTTCAGCAGTGCTAAATCCTACAGCTACTTTATCTAAATTATGTGTTAATATTCCGCAACTTGCACTGAAAATAAAAGAAGTATCAGTTGATTAGTACATGTAAAAGATTTATTAATAATATTAACTTACTTTTCGATAGCATTGTTAACGGTAATCATGCGTAATGGCTGCCAAGGATAATTTCGTATCATTCGTATAGCCTCTTGTAATTCCCGCATTTCACGATCAACTCCAGTTCCACATGGTTGCTCTACGTGTCCATTAATTCCAACCTCAGAACGCTGCCCTTTACTTTCATTCGAATCCATATCCAAAGGAATAGAATCTACTTTCTTAATTATAGTAATGTGTGTATTTATTATCTGTAAAAAAAGAAAAAAAAAATAAGAAACAATGTAATAAATATATTGTTTGATTTATATCTAACAAATATGATTATGAAACATTACCTGCATCAATGTTATATGCCCATGTTTTTTAAGAAATTGTTGAAGACATACATGAGCTATATGTGATATATCCACTTTGTATTTTCTAGTTCTAAATGCATTTACTAATGGCCTTAATTCTATATCTTGTATAGAGAAGACACCGGAAAGTTCTTCTAAAAAACTTTTTTCCGTTTCATTAACAAAATCACCTTGATGAGACTTTAAAAATAATACTGCTGCTTGTTTATTTCCAGCATGTAACATTTCCAAATAAAGATGACAAAATACTGGATACAAAAGGCCTCTCAGTTCTGTTTTTATATTATCGTTACGTATAACGTTTATCCATGTTTTTAACCTAAAATATTTTCATATATAAATGTATATATATTTTCATTGAATTTGATAATAATGCTTAGGAATGATTGCTAATGAAATAAATATTAAAAGAAATGAATGAACAAACCGTTCGAATGCTTGATCAACAGCAGCTGTATCAGTACTAATAGCACTAAAGACAATTGAATTATCTCGTGATATGCCTAACTTAATCGTTGCACTAAGAGTCATTTCATCACCGGTTTGGCAAATTGATTGATCGGATTTACAAAGAAAATCACCACTTTGCTAAATAAATAAACAAATAATTTAGGTTATGTTATAGTATTTAAATAATTTCTTAACTTAACCAAAAATTTTACCTGATAATGTCGTCGTTTTAAATACGATTCGACTGTGGCATTTATTATTTCACTTTTGGAACGCTTCATTTTCATTTATCACTCGATCTACGAGAATTTCATTGATTTGATTGAATAAATTTTGACTAATTCATTAAAATCCCCGTATAAGGGTATCAACTTTGAAATAGAATCAAATACAGCTGATGTGACAATTTGTTTATTCAAATAGACATTTTTTAACGTAAGAGGGCACCACAAGCAATCACTATGTGAGGGCGCTAGCGTATTTCGTGTTTATTTCTAAGACGATCAGACAAGTTGATTAGGTTAGTTTCCTCTGGTCTTGTTCTTGTTTGTAAGTTGTCATTGAAATTTGAATTATTTTCAATAATGGCACCACCAAAACGTTTTAAAAAAGATAATGACAGAGGCAAATGGAAAAAAAGGAAAGAAGATCACGAAGAATGTATGGATGATGATTCTACCGATGTTGTAGAAACAGAAGGTATTCCTGATGCTGCTAAAACTGATATAGAAAAACAAGATGAAGGTGTTTTAGAAGATGAATTTGGTGCTAAAGATTATCGTTCACAAATGACATTAAAACCTGATTGTGAATCTAGACCATTATGGGTAGCACCAAATGGACATATTTTCTTAGAATCTTTTTCACCAGTTTACAAACATGCCCATGACTTTTTGATAGCAATATCAGAACCTGTTTGTCGACCAGAACATATTCATGAATACAAACTAACAGCTTATTCTTTGTATGCTGCCGTTAGTGTCGGTCTTCAAACGCATGATATAATAGAATATTTGAAAAGATTGAGCAAAACTAGTATTCCTAATGGTATTATAGAATTTATAAAGTTATGTACGTTATCATATGGAAAAGTGAAGCTTGTACTAAAGCGTAACAAGTATTTTGTGGAATCTCCATTTCCAGAAGTATTACAAACACTTTTGAAAGATCCTGTTATACAGCAATGCAGATTAAGAAAAAATGTAGATGATTTAGATAAAGATGAAATTACAACAAACATTGAAAGTAAAGGAAAGAACATAAAATTTGGTGCTAAACCATTACCAAGCGGTCAAACAGTTAATGCTGCTAAACAAGCTGCTCCTGAAACCAAAGTTGATCAAACGCCATCAGAAATGGCTGCTATTCCTGAAGATATAACTACATTTTATGAAAAAATTGATAAAGAAGATGAAGACGAGGAGGAAGAATTAGAATTGAAAACAGTTAGTTTTGAAGTAAATCAAGAAAAAATTGAAGTTATACAGAAACGATGTATTGAATTGGAGTATCCTTTATTAGCAGAATATGATTTTCGCAATGACAATGTAAATCCTGATATAAATATTGATTTAAAACCATCAGCAGTACTGAGACCTTATCAAGAGAAAAGTTTACGTAAGATGTTTGGCAATGGACGTGCTAGATCAGGAGTTATAGTCCTGCCATGTGGTGCAGGAAAAAGTTTAGTTGGGGTAACAGCTTGTTGTACAGTACGAAAACGTGCTTTGGTACTCTGTAATTCTGGAGTATCTGTGGAACAATGGAAACAACAATTTAAAATGTGGTCTACCGCTGATGATTCTATGATTTGTCGATTTACCAGTGAAGCCAAAGACAAACCTATGGGTTGTGGTATTTTAATTACTACCTATTCTATGATAACTCACACCCAGAAACGTTCCTGGGAAGCCGAGCAAACGATGCGATGGCTTCAAGAACAGGAATGGGGTATTATGGTTTTAGATGAAGTACATACGATTCCTGCTAAGATGTTCAGAAGAGTATTAACAATTGTACAGTCTCATTGTAAATTAGGTTTAACAGCAACATTATTGCGTGAAGATGACAAAATCGCAGATCTCAATTTCTTAATTGGTCCTAAATTATATGAAGCTAATTGGTTGGAATTACAAAAACGAGGATTCATTGCTAGAGTACAATGCGCCGAAGTATGGTGTCCTATGACGCCTGAATTTTACAGGGAATATCTTGTATGCAAAACAAATAGAAAACTATTATTGTACGTAATGAATCCAAATAAGTTTCGAAGTTGTCAATATTTGATTAGATATCACGAAAGACGTGGTGATAAAACAATTGTCTTCTCGGACAATGTATTTGCATTAAAACATTATGCTATTAAAATGAATAAACCATATATTTATGGGCCAACTAGTCAAAGCGAACGAATACAGATATTGCAAAATTTTAAATTTAATACTAAAGTTAATACAATATTTGTCAGTAAAGTAGCTGATACTTCTTTTGATTTACCAGAAGCAAATGTATTAATTCAAATTTCTTCACATGGTGGCTCGAGACGTCAAGAAGCTCAACGATTGGGACGTATATTGAGAGCTAAAAAAGGTGCTATTGCAGAAGAATACAATGCATTCTTTTATACATTAGTATCACAGGATACTATGGAAATGAATTATTCGAGAAAACGTCAAAGATTTCTCGTTAATCAAGGTTACGCTTATAAAGTTATTACCAAGTTGGCAGGTATGGATGATGAACCAGATTTAATGTATGGTTTAAGAGAAGATCAAGGACAGTTGTTGCAACAAGTCCTAACTGCCAGTGATATGGATGCAGACGAGGAAAGAATTCCTGGGGAAGGTGTAAGATCGGTTACAATGAAGGCAGGAAATATGACGTCATTATCAGGAGCAGATGATGCTGTCTACTATGAATATAAAAAAGCACCGAGTTCCTCGACAGCTAACAAACATCCGTTATTTAAAAAATTCAGGACTTAAAAAAAGCTTTACAGTAGTATCCTACTATTTTTACTGTATATCGATACCATTACCAATTGCTTGATAATGTTTGAATGTAAGAATTATAAGTGATACAAGATAAATCAAAGTTATGAAGCATGCTGCGTTCTCTATCCTGATTTACAATTTACATAGATAACATTAAATAAATCAAATGTAACTTTAACAAGATTTAAGATTGATAATGTTAAAAGTTAAACTGTATTTTTCATACATCATTAAAAATATCTTTATACTATACTCTGCTGGTATATTTTGAATTAATTCACAGTTTTATGTGAACTGATGTGTAACATTTTGTAAATCAAATAAATTATTATAAATATTAATTAGTTCTAAATGATTATTTACATATATACATACACATATATACAAGGAAACTATTCAAATTTTCAATTAGTTTGGTATATATATATGAATATTATATATTTTTAAGTAAACATGATTATACATTCAAATAAAAGATATAACATATGCAATGTTCGTTATAATAAAACAATTAGTATAAGAAGTTCAAAGAAAGAATTATATTTTAACCAGAGAAAGTCCATATTCTGTGACCTTGGCTATTAGTACGAGTGTGAGTATTATAATAATCATTTCTTGCAGGTAAAGAGTTAGGTCTGTTGGCTGGACGATTATTGGGTCCACGATTACGATCATCTCCAAATAATCGATCCCGAATAGAATTTTCACCAATGGTATTTCTAGTTCCTGAAAGTCCAGATGATCTGCCAGGTCCATATGCTCTTGGTGGTGGTGGTGGTGGTGCTGGTGGTCGTACCGTTCCACGTGCACGTGGTCTTTCATATGGTACTGTTAAATTGTACATCGATAATAAATAGAATACTTTGTTTTTATTTAGTGTTGAAAATATTTTGTACAGATCAAATCGTTCACCTAACTCGACGTACACATCTTACTTTTCTATTATTCCAAGTTTACTCTTTATTTTTGCATTTGTTTTTATAAATATACATGTTAAATATTTCAATATATATATATATATAAAGAAATTAGTTTAATTAAAGTTATTTAGCGTTAAGAGAAGCAGCATTTTTGAAAATTACAACTAATTGTGTATTAATTTATAAAAATATTATATACATAAAACATGTATACAATAATTGAGATAAATTTATGAATGAAAAATATTACATGTTGATTTACAGATTATTATGTGTAACATGTGTGTGTGTGTGTGTGAAAAAGAATATTTTATAAATTGTTGTATAAACATCAATAAAAATCTATTCATTATTACTTTATATTAATAATTGCTAAAATGAATATTATTATGATTATTATTATAACTGTATAATTGAAGGTAATTTATTAGCAATTATATGTATACGAATATCAACTGTATATATATATATATATATATATATATATATATACATGTAAATAGATCTCGTATGAACGTATGCATGCAATATATGTATGTAAATGTATACGTCACGTACGAAGGCACTGTGCATTGCATAAGTAACAATTATTTAATAGAGCAATTGTAACGATAGGCATAAAAGCCATATTTATAAAAGCTGTTTTTACTTTCAAATAGTCATGGTTTAGAAATAAAACTATATATGTACATAGCACACAAATTTTCTATATATATATATAAAAATAATTATATAATACGATATATCAGGTACACACCAAGTTGCATTTAAAATTAAAAACTTTGTTTGACTCTTTTTATAATTTATGATTAAAATATTACAGACAAAAATGTATCTGCGTTGAACATATTTGCGCAATGCACTGATTATTATTATTATTATTTAAAAAAAAAAAAAAATCAGGAAGTTGTTATATATAATCACGATCGATTATAAAGAATGAGAGATAAAGTAATCAAGCAAACAGTTGTAAAAGATGCAGACTGTCCGATGTTGCTACCATTTTTACGATATACAGAATTTGAATTGTAAGAATATCCTCGATGATTCTGATTTGGATAATTCTGATAACCAGGATATTGTCCTACTGGATATCGTTGACCATTTGGATACTGTTGTTGAGGATACCCTGCTTGTGGGTATCCAGATTGTCCTGGATATGGGGGATAACCTTGACCAGGATATCCTTGACCAGGTTGCGGCATTCTGTTCATAGTTGGATAGGGTGGATAACCGAGATTATCCGTTCGCGGATGATTCCCTTGATTCGTTGATGGATAAGGAGGATAGCCGTTGTTGTTATTTGAAGATCCTACATTGCTGGGATAAGGAGGGTAACCGATATTGGTACCAGTGTTAACTTGATGATAACCTGTACCCCCCGGTACAGGATCAGCAGGGGCTGGAGGTGCATTCGCGTTAGCGTACGGATTTGAGTTGGTATTCGTGTGTTTATTAGTATCGCTATTGCTCACTTGTTGACCATTCACAACATCGACACCCGCCGATTGGAACCCTGAAAATGACTCGTTTTTGTTCGTTTCGCTTGTATATTGGGACTGATATTTTCTAAATAAATTTTAAGTCAAACATATCCTACATTTTCAACTAAAATTTCAAAACATTTGTTGAATTTACTGTTAATATTTGAGAAAATTGTAAATTAAATTTCATTCGATTTTCATGATGCAAATTATTTGAATGTTAAGACATTAATTTGTTAAATAGGATATAGTCATGCTGTTTCATTTTCTTCAAAGCAAAATAACAAAAAACTTTGCGATGTTAAAATGACAAATCAATATATGGTAATAATGTGGATTAATAGAATACAGGCAGCATTAAAAATCATGACTCTTTGCATTAAACTGTATTTACAACATATCTTGAAGAATAACATTATTATTATAAACATTTTATCATTCAGCTATAAAAAGTACAAAGAGTTAGGATTTTTAAGATGAATATTAATCAAATGAAAAACTTATTATTGATATATATATATATAATACCCACCATTAGATGAAACCTTGCTTACACATTTTGGTACATCGTTTTCGGTTCTGCAGTATTCATTTTTGTCACAAATGATGCTCGAGCAACTGCTCTCTGTAGAAAAATATTATAAAGCCCAATCATTCTCAAATAATTATTAAGCATTTGATATCATTCTAATCACGATTACGAAGTTATTCCAATTCTTAGTAATTTTATATGCTGTATTGATAATTGCCATTGTTCTGAATGAATGCATTCTTATTTCATTCTATTGTAATTCGAATATTACGTTGAAAGAAGTTTGTCATATACTTTAGATGAAATGAATTACCAAGTGTTAATGATACTTCTTATGAAGAAAAGGAGATAGAGAAGAATCGCGTTAACAAAGTTCAAACATGCGCATGATTCTCATGCATATGTAATATCATGCACAAAAGTGTCATTAATTTTGATTAAAGATACATATGAATAATATGAATTGATATAATTAGAAAAGTTAGTAAATTTTGAAGAGAAATAAAAAATATAAGATAGAAAAATTCAATGTACAAGTTCTTCATTTGATATATGTACAGTGGTATATTCATTGAATTTTAAATATTGAATAATTATAAGTTTAATACTAGATATATACTAGACCTGTCATTTTGACTGATTGACGCCATTTTAATTGAACATTTTCTACTTCATGTATAACATTTGATTTATGTTAATAATTTAAAATTGTCTATGTATATATAAATCCATGTGATATCTATTAAAATTATTATTGTTACAACATTTGTTGTTATTTTGTAAGAATAAATAAAGATTTTTGTTTATAAACCAGTTATTTTGACCAGTGCGGTAGAAATAGGTATACTGAAAATGGTGGTATATCTAGTGTTAATAATTTCACGTAGGATAACGTGAATGGGGAAAAAAAGAAAAGATAAATCGTGTGCTGTTGATTTCAGAATGATAGTAAAACAAATTAAAAGATAATAGATAAATAATTTGATTTTCAATAGTTCAAATTATTTAATTGCTTGTCCTTTTCACAACTCTTGAAAGTTTATCATTCAAACTAATAAAATGTAAGCTGATTGATCAACGATTATTATTATTATTATTTTTGGTTTTTATCAAACGTTAAAATAAAAATAAAAAGTAAACTCAGATATATATATATATATAAATATTGTGTTATACGAATTATTCAGAATAATTATTGACATTTGAAATATCAAATTAATGTTTATTACGTTACAAGAAATAATTATTCTGAATATATGAAAATAAGTGAATAATATGCTAAAAAAATATTACAAAATAATAATTGCTAAATAATTGAATAAAATGTTATTACCGCTGTTGCTAGTTTTTTTGCAAGTTGGATAAAAGCCACATTTGTCTGATGAAACTGTGCAAGGATCTTCAGCTATTACGCATACTTCATCTTTTCTACATCCAATATCCTTGCAACTTCTTCCGTATTCTGTAATTAAAAGTTTTATATTTTTCGTTTGTGAAATATTTTTTTCTGAGCGTGTATCAATCAATGTAACAAAAGAAAAAAAATATATATGAAATTACGAAAGGTTGACGTCATAGTTATAAATAAAATTTGATTGGTGTAAGATATATATATATATATATAAATCATCATAGGGACAATCATTCAATCATTGATAGGTAAATTGAAACGATCATTTGTAAATATTACGAATGACGAATAATAGGAGCCTTTAAAAACGGAAATATTATTTGACCAACCGTTAAGATATTCAAGGTTGTAATTGTAATTACGCGCAAACCGTTTCTTACTTTTATATCTCCTAGGTAAATTGATGAGAATACAAGTATTTTAACGATGTTCTTACATTTTCTTTTTTTTGTGTGTATTTTAAGAGAGTTAAGTCGGCCACACCTTTCGTTGATATAATTGTAACTCTATTTCAACCATGGCTAGGTCTTTGCTTAAGAATCCCCCCCACCCCCATCGATTTTCAATTATCGTAAGGAAGATGAGAGAACGGTCGTGGTTAGATTCTACTCTACGATTTTCTACCCTCTTACGAAATATTTCTTCACTTTAATTTGAGTCACAAAAGAACATCTACAAATATTCATGCATTTTTTTTTATATACTATTCTATAATGCATATATATTAATTATAATTAATATATAATATTTCTTCACTTTAATTCGAGTCACACAAAAGAACATTTACAAATATTAATGCAATTGTATATTCTAAAATGCATATATTAATTATAATTAATTATAATTAATAAAAGAACATCTGCAAGTACTAATGCAATTGTAATATACTATTCTAAAATGCATATATTAATTATAATTATATTATAATTAATTATAATTAATTAATATATGTATATTATAATATTTCTAATATTATATTATATTTTTCTTCACACTTTAAATCGAGTCAAAAGAACATCTACAAATACTAATGCAATTTGTTATATACTATTCTAATGCATATATTAATTATAATTATATTATACTATATGTATTTATTTATTATAATTTAAAAAGAACTATATATATATATATATATATACCAAACGTATAAAATAAAAGAAAAATACAATTATATTATTGTTATACAGCTATACAGTAAATTTATGAATTATTTGTCTTGTTATATACTATTCCAACACACATATTCTAAACAATTTAAAAGAAAATCTACCAAACGTCTAAAATAAAATAAAAATACAATTATTATTATTATTATTGCATTAAAATAAATATATAAATTATTTTTTTGACATATTATAATTATAAATCAAACATTAAAAACATTATTTATTTTTCATTATTAGTTATAACTTGACTAGTTTGTATCAAACCGAATTTTATAAAAAATGACGTCTCTTTATCGCTTTTTATCGTTGACCTTTTATAACCCTCCCCCCCCAACCTTATTCAAGTGGTTTCCTTTTTCCTATATTATTCGTGATATCTCGGCAGGAAAAAAAATAATAAATATACCATTAAGATAAAAAAAAATTTGTATTAGAAATATACATTGTGATAAATGTAAGATTTGAATGAATGCTTACTTGAATATGATGCCACATCCGGTATCGCAATGATGACCAATAGGGCAGCTAATGTAACCCACAGATTCTGTGAGTTCAACATTTTCTGAAATAAAACTATTAAAATTGAATTTATTTTTCGGAAATATAATTATATAGTTACACTTGAAATAAAAATGAAAATACAAATATTCAATGTTGCGATGTTTTTTTAAACGAGTTAAGGAAGTTGCCAGGAAGTTACGCAAGGATTATTACATTTGTATCATACTTGATGAAGAAAAAATGTAATCCATTATATAAAAACTACGTAAAATTAAATTCGACAAATTATTCTTGAAAATTTGGTAACCATATTCCCAGTCTTGATCAAATCTAACCTCACTTTCGTTGAGTTCACTGTGCACATTTGTTTTAAATTGTAATTTGTTTCTCACGTCTTGGATGTCGACCTCGAAAAACACAACACGCACATACAAAGGAATCCTTTATGGAATATTCATGTCACACTTTTACGTCGAAACATGACTATGTAAGGAATACTTTTACAAATGATATTACTGTTATTATAATTGCTTTAGAAGAAAGCCATATGCATTTCTTGACAGATGCATTTAAATAGTGAGACGATAAATATGTCAAAAATCATAACTATCTTACCTATCTATTGTTTTTCTTGCAAACAACTATAAATACTTTCCACTTTTACAGTTACTGCAGCACTGAAGTCGCAGTTAATTTCGAACTGGTTTTGTTATCACGAATGACGTTTGCGATGGGAGAGAGGGAAAGATAGAATAGGAAAGAAGTACGGAGGGGGAGAACGAATACATCAGAATGTAACCTTGAACAACGAAGTATAAAAGTATCAAAATGACGTTCTCCAGTAAAACTTATCAATGTTACCAACTTATTATTTGAAATTTTATTTACAAAATAACAAAAAATACAATGAATTACTTATTGTTATAATGAATGAAAAAAAAGTGATTACTAATATATTGTTTAGTTTCAAATACCGCAATATATTGGCACGTGCCCTTTTGAACAGAAGGGTACTCCGTAGGGTAATATATTCAATGCGGAGATTGCGCAAAGTAAAAATTTTAACCACAAAGAAATTCCCGCGAGAACGTACGCGCAGCCCTGCTCCAACCCTTATCCCTGTGTTACTAACAGCCCATTACACTACACGAGGTGGTACACCTTGCGCATGCGCATGGTTATGCGTACTGAGATGCGCGAGAGACGTTGCGCGATAGACAATGTGTAATAGACGATGCGCGATAGACGATGCGCGCCGCACTGCGCGCCTGATTGCAGTCGTGGTGGTGCAGCAACGGGCGTCGACCGTTATCACGTCAGTCAAATTCTTACCCTCAGTCGCGTATTTCATCTCGCGAATGACGAACACGAGAATATTATTTTCCTTCCTCATCCTTATTCTCCTTTTCCTTTTTATTCCACGAATAAATGAATTCAAATATCGCATCATTTCATCTCACTTTTCATTATTTCTCATTGATATAAAATTTCATCTCTCTCTTGTTTCATATATTTTACATTTTATTTCTCCTTGTCGCGAAAAAGACAGACAACATTTATTTGTCTATTCGCAGGAAACATTTCGTTATCAAAAATCCAAAGTTGGCTAAGTTTTTGTTTTGTTTTGTTTTTTTTTTTAATCAAAAAGACGAATTGAGTATTTGTCGTGAAATAAAAACGATCAGTGTTGATTCGAAAGAAAAGAAAAATAAAAGATAAGAGAGAGAGAGAGAGAGTGAAAAATTAACGTGGCTTCTCAATTTCACCGACTGTCAACGTGGTGTGCACATAACCAGGTGTGCATCAGGTAGGCAACAACTTCGAATATTCTTCATAAATCTATACCTGCGAATTAAACGCGATCTAAACTTGATAAATCTATCTATATATTAATAAACAACAAATGTTATTTACATTTGGTATTCATCAATAGTGACATCAAATCATTTATCATGTTATGTTTCGATTATCAATTTTTCTATAAAAATTAATCAATTCATAGGAACCTTTTTAATTTCGTTATTACTTTAATCAATTTAGTAATTTGTGCCACTCGTCACAATCATCTTAGTTCGTTCTTAAATATTTTATCAGAATGCAATTACATCTTTACGTATATTGAAATAATTGAATTTAGAAATAATAAAAGATGAAATCACACAATTGCAATTGTTGTTAGATACCTAATAGATAGTAACGTGTTAAATACGCATAGAATTTTGGAAACAACTCGATTACGATAATACGTATGATCGTCGTATGTCTAAAGTAAATAGGATGGAAATGAAAATTAACGTTATGTGGGAATGATGGAACGTTCGTTGATATATGGCCAACAGGTTCATTCGTGCATTGTTCTCGAATTTAGGAAGATAAATTGTAGCTTTGTCATAGTAACAGTAGCAACGCCTATCTATCTGTCTCTAGCATTTTCAAGGATTATCCATTACTTTGAACCTCGTCATTTTCCATTTAGTAAATGGTACCTACATACTTACAAAACGTGACTGGTTATCATCTTTGATACTTATGTTATAAACATAGAACAAAGATGCTACACATTCAAAGTACACATACATACATTGTACATAGCATTTTCATTTACATAATGAACAGAAAAATTGAACTTAATTTAATTAGAACAAATCAAATGTATTATACATTTAATAATATGATTTAGTTTTGTAAATATGAATGAATTAATGAATAATTGTAATATTAATTGTGTTTCATTTTTTCCTAATAAAATACAATGTGTACATTGTGTAAATTGATCAAAAGAATTAATGAGAAAAAAGATATGAACAATGAACTTGATGAAAAATATCCATTGATAAGAAGATCATCTTGAATATAACATCCCGCCGATAAAGTTAGCTGTAAAATGAAATACTTGATAGGATTTGATATAAATCTGAGTCCTTAATAATTCAAGATTCTCAAGTTAGGATTCTCGAATAGGAATTGGAATAGTATTAATATTCCTAGTGGGATAGTTATGGTTAAGTTTCGTCGTTTGACTTCATAACAATAATGTATATATATATATATATATATATATATTGTTTCATTCTCCATAAATCATCCATTTAATCCGAACATTCTGCTAGTACATGTTTAATACCATTAATAATGAATCAGGTGTATTCTGTTGCTATTCGTAGTAATGTCTTTTAAGTAAGTTGTTTTAATAACACATTTTATTTTTTTTATAGAATAACAAAATGTTGACAAATATTGAATACATGTGTATTTAATATTAAAAAAAGAGATTCAATGTGTATGTGTGTGTGTCCTTTTGGTCTCATTGATTATTTATAAACTGTCCAATCTATCTGTATTTTGTAATATAAATTTGAATAAAAACAAATTGCAATATACAGTTATATTAAAAGTTCTTATAAAATGTATCTACCAAAAGGTATTGCAAAAAGTCAAGATATTGTAATAATACTCGTTGCAACTATTTCGTAAAACGATCGACTCTGTAATAAAAATGTGGCATCCAGCCAAATTTTACTCTCTCTCTCTCTTACTTTTTACAGCCTGTTAAAAAAAAAAAAACAAAAAGAACAGGCAGAGTAAAACAAGGAATAAAAAAAGAAGAAAAATGTAAAGTGACCAAGTGGAAGTAAAAATGATGTAAAAAAAAAAGAAAAACATGACCATCGGAGTTATCTTCGAATAGAATTATCATTTTTATCATTTTGAAGAGAATTGCAGATTTATTCGGTATGTGTATATATATATATATATATATATAGGGGGTGATCATTTATTAAAATGAAACAAAAGGTAGATATTCGAATGTATTTTTATCGACAGATAGAAAAGCTGATATAGGATTTTAACAATGAGATCATTTATTATGAAATAAATCAATACGATATTAGTATAATCTTCGAATCGATGATTTATATGCATAACTGTATAATAATTATACTTAATATGGTACATTTGATTTTAAATGATAACACATTATCCTTTAAATTAAAGACTCTAATAATAATCAAATAATAAAACAACAAGATTCTAAATTAATACTGAAATTTAAATTTGATAATTAGTTTCATTATTTAGTTTTCATCAAATATTTGAAATTGAAATGTTCAGAGAGAGAGAGAGAGAGAGAGAGAGAGAGAGAGGTAGAGAGAGAGTGTTTAAAGACTGTAATAAAAAAAAAAAACAACAGATGTGTGCAGATCACACACGGTAGAAGTGAAACCTTCAAAGAAAACCAAACTTCGAGACGTGAATATATCGAAATAATTGAAGTGTATAATACAGTGCCATCTATTGAAAGAACGTTACAGTACCCTAGATAACCTAACTCTAAATAAAAATCTTTAAATTAGTAATAAAAAATAATAATAATAAGAAAAAAAAATTGTGCTATGTGTTAAGTTGAAACAAATCACGTGAAATCAAATAAATTTCATTAAAATACGTTGAGTAGTTTTGGAATTATTAGTGGACAAACATATTGTGACACTGAATTTTTATATACAGAATTGTATTAATTAATGAATTATTTTTGTTTCATCGATTTTACGGTTTCTTCCGTTTCACGTTCTTCCGTTTGACGATTTTCAAATCACCCTGATTCTAAAGAAGTTTTCACTTCAAAAATATAATACCATATGAATACTCCTATATATATATTTGATGTCTTTTCTATATCGTATGCGTAACGACCGAAAAAAAAGTTGCATCGTCTGCTATTAGCCTTTGAGATGGTCTTCTTGTAAAAGGGGCTTCTCGATGGATCTCGCACAGGTTGAATAGGTGCTCTCAGCTTCCTTTGGCAAAAATCAATTTCGCTGACGCGACTCCTAATCCGATTAATTAAAGGCAGGCGCCGGAGAAAGGCCATCGAATTTTGAGACCGAACACATCCTAACGGTCTATGAAATTCTCGAGAGAGCTAAGAGAAATGATGAAAGATGCGAACAACAACAACAAAATAAAACTAATGCAATAATATTCGTGTCTTTATCGTAAGAACGAACCTTTCTTTGTCTCTCTCTCTCTCATTTGTCAACCCTTTCGATAGGTACCTATCTGACCAATAATATTCCTAGTATTGCAATAATTCTACTTAACTAAATTGAAACACAAGATGATAATAATCGAACGTTTGATTTTTGTTTCAGAAATCTTCGGAGTTGTTTACTGGATTAAGTCAAAAGATAAATTTGTCCAAAGACGTTATACACAATTTGACACGAATTGTGTTCAATTAATCATCCCGTTGGATTCAACACAATCGATGCAACTTTATTAAGAATGAACAAGATGTGTTTATTTAACGTGACATGAACCGATCAATGTTTCCATTTCTAAAGCATAATACTTATTTTTCATCGGTTAATGTACTTGGATATATACCGCGCGTATATATCCATCAATCGCAATTTTCTCGTATTCCCCTTACATCATCCATTTACAGTGTCATACGTTACGCGTGCTCTACTTTCTGTCATACATCGAATTCCTTTTAACAAAGGTCTGCGAGATCCTAAACTAACCCCTCCAAGCAAATTTCTTATATCGTGATCGTCAATCGAAATTCGTTGACGAATCTCTATACCTCATTTTTCTTCATCGTTAGTTTGAGAACAGGCTTGGGATTCGTTTACTTTTATTTGACCCATAAATGGATAAGTGCGAGGGCGGATAAATCTTCAGTTATCATCAGTGAGATGTTCCCATGAGAAGAGTCGTCTGCGAGGTGATGTCTTGTTGTTGCTGGTGTTGCGACAGCGGGAACAGTACAGCTGGTCCAAGAGGAACAACTGCAACAGCAGCAGCAGCAACAGCGGCAGCAGCAGCAGCAGCAAGTGCAGTTGTTGTTGAGAATCATAGTGGGAGCAACGCGAACGGGGGTGGTGGCCTTGGAATAGCATCCGGCCTATCTGCAATACTCTCCCTTGTCGTTGTCACCGTTGCCATAAGCACGGGCGAGTGGTTGTTGACTGAGGAAAAGCTTCCTAAGACGTCCTCGAACGCATCCGTCGAACCGGACAGCAAAGTCACTTACAGTGGGCTCTGGCGCGTTTGTGTGGCCATAAGTGAGTACAGAAATCTGCATTACATAAAGTATTACAATCGAGCCAAATTTTATATACTTTTAAGGCTTCTTTCTAAGTCTCTCATATGTTCTTACCATTTTTAATAATTTTATGAAAATTTACTGTAATCAAGTTTGTATGAAAAAAAAAAAAAAACAAAAAAAGAATGAAATGAATGTAGCTTTGATAGTTGAAATTTTTTCAATGAAAAATGCATATGACATTCATACGATGCACACGACATTCGAGTATCATCAACCAGTGGTTTTTTGAGAAAAATACACTGTTACAATTGTTACAAAGAGAAAGACCAATAAAATAAAATATAATAAAAGTTCCATTTGCAATCAGTTAAACGTTTTATTGTGCAATCAATGGTATTTCTTTCTCCATGCTTCAGCAGATGTATCGAATATGATGGTCCTCCTTTCATACTGTCAATGATCAAAAACAAATTTGTACGATAATAATTCTCTGTCAAACGTATCGTGAAAAAAAAAAAACAAAAACAAAAATAAAACAAGCATTGAAATAAAAAAAAAAAAAACGATCTCTAGGAAATATGATATGATGATATATTATATCCAATTGAAAGCTTTTTATTATTTCAGATTTTAATCAAGGAAGAATATATTTACGGTTTGTAGAATCTAAAAATGATGGTGGTTTTTTTTTTTTTTTTTTTAAATTCAAACAAAAAATAATACGTTATCATTTTAATGTAAATTCGTTTGAAAATTATTTTCTCGAATAATATTAGTAGACGACGAATGTTGGCTCTTTTCGTACCTTTTTTTTTGTTTTAAACGAAGATATGTTGGTTTTAAAGATAAAAATTGAAAAAAAAAAAGAAAAAACGACATTAATTTTTTATCAAATCAATATTTGCATGAGAGAGAGAGAGAGAAAAAAAATGGCAGCAAAACTGGTCGTCTATATTCGTTTTACAACTTGATTATGTTCAACGGTTCATAAGAATCTTTTCTTTTTTTTTTTTATCGAGACAAATTGAAAGTAAACGTCAGAAAAGATTTGGAGAGAAGAGTAAAAGGACATTTAGCTTGAATTCCGGCCTATGATGTTTCTCTGTTTCTCTTCAGATAGAAACGTCTGGTACTCGGGGATTTTGTTGAGATAGGGGGAGGTCGGAAATGACTCGTTACTCGGGGTACCGGAAACCACTCTCCTTTTGCTAACCCCATCAACCAGAGGGGATGCCTCTTGGCTATGCTCTTGGGAGGGAAAAACCAGGAATAGGAATGAAAGGAAACCATTTACCGATGAACATAGTCGACAGTAGAGGGATAGCTTCTTATTGCGGTCGAACGATCGTCAATTTTGCACTTGTTTTGCGCCGCTTCACAGAAATATTCAAATCACTTTCATTACTTTTAATTACTCAAATAAATTCTTTCCAATTTGTACATTGTCAAATATTCGCGAATGAATATTTTGTAAGTTCTTTGATTAGGTTAGGTTAAGATTGGTTATATTTTCTTAACCTTTGCTTACCACTCTTCCTGGAGTAACACGCTTACCACACTTAACCACAAAAAAGAAACTATTGCATGGATTTACTTCAACATTTTTTTCAGACTTCTTTAATACTTACTTCAAAAGACTATATAGGTTTTATAACTTTAAATTAAGTTTAAATATGTTTACAAAATTATCATACTCGAACAATTGAGATAAATGACTCAAGTTGCAAAAAAAGGTCTGGGTCTTTTGGACCAAGTGTGGTAAGCAAAGGTTAATATTAACAATGACCACTTTGCTTAACGTCGTTACCACCAAAGAAAAGCAACGAACAGTTATCCATTTCTTGTTTCCAACTAAGTCAGGGACCAAAATCCATTGAAAACTTTCAGTCATTGTCTTGAGACAACAAGAAATGGATACAACTAACTTAGCTTGTTCTAACGCGTAACCTCAAATACTAATGCATATATAAGCACTTTTGATATTATTATTATTGATGAAAATGCCATTATACTGTTGAGGTTATCCTTAGACGTAGAATAAACATAGATTTATATAACATATTATGAAAAAAAGAAATGTTAATAATAGATGTAGAAATTTATTATATTTCTTGTGATTAGGTTATATATATAACCTATAAATAGATAAAATAAAATTACTTTTCTTAAGATCTAATTGCATGGCTAGAAAATCTAACTCTTTATTATTCGAAAAAGACTATGAGAAGAAGGAAAAAAAAAGAAGAAGAAGAATATGCACCCAAGAAGGGTTGTTCTCGTAGAAAACGTTAGAAAATTGCTTTTCCCTTGCGGTAACAGGATTTCTTGGAGCTTTTATTAGCAACAGCGCAAACCCTGACGCAATCCTGACGGGTTTGGGTTCGGTTGGTTACGGTTCGGTCGGTCACCACCCTGGCATCGAATAAAAGTGAAAAGAAAGAAAAAAGTAAGTCGGGTGGTTAACTTCCTTACAGAAAACAACGAACAAACTTGCAAATAATGTTATAAAGAACGAACCATTATATTGTCAATTTAGAAAACAATGACATTCTTAATAGTCTTTCAATTTTTGGGAAGGAAACCTCAGAAGTTTTAAGAAACATAAAATAAGATATTTGTTTTCTGTATGTTTCAGGCTCGCGTATGGAATACGAGTGTTCGAGTATCGACTATTTTCCAAACGAGGAGTATAGTCCTGATCCCAGTGACTCTACTATGGCAATTCCGTGTTAGTAACTAACATATTTATAAATAATGTGGAGGGACGAGCGCCTCCATGCCAAACTTATTAGGCATTCGTGAGAAGGATTAGTCGGTAGGCCCTGGATAGCTCAATTGGTTAAGGAGCAGTCGTAGTCGCCCGGAAAGCGAAAGATCCGTGGTTCGAATCCCGTCGGTCCAAGTCAGTCAGCTGGTCCAATTTTTTTCACGAATCCCACAATAAAATACTAATTAGTAAAGAAATAGAGGAGGGAAAGAGGTTTATTTCGTCACGTGACACACACTGCATTACTTAATCGAACTTTTACTATGGCGCGAACAACTAAATAAATACGCAAAGTTGAATGAGAGTGTTGTAGATGTTTCTCGTATAAATACAGGAGAAATGATTAACGTACTGATTTATTTGATCTGCTTGCTACGTCGTCGTCGTCGTTGCCTTCGTTTATATTTATATCGATGGAGTCTTGGCATGCAAATCTAATTGTAAGAAGCGCAAAGAAGAGAAGAAGAAGAGAGAGAAGAGAACGCGTGTGGAAAGTTTCTTCCTGGTGTGAGCAAAGTTTTCAGGAAATAACGACGAAGGAGTTTGCAATAGAGACCGGAGATTCAGTAGGCAAACTTTCCAACTACGATCTGCAAATTTCCAAGAGACACAAGTAACGAGAGAGGAAAGAGAAGAGAAGCTTACGAGTAGTAAAGAACGAGAAACACTGACGTTCTTATGTAATAATAAATTAACCTATTCTTATCGATATGCTTTCCGTATTTCCAACTTTCATGCCACCTTCTGGATAATATCATCATTTTCTATATGTCATAGTCTTGACAGATATATACTATTTCTGTTCGAAACATTATCAAACTTTGAAATACATATTCCCTTATTTTTGAATCTTCTTCTTCTTCTTCTGCTTTTTCATCTTCTTAGGACTACGTCCTGTTATATCCAAACTTCACAGCGTCTTTAACCTAAAGAGGTTATTTAGTGATTATTTTTTTTATTTTTTTTTTATTGAGGGTAAGTTGCTAACCTCGCATTTGAACCCTCCCCTTTTATTTGAAGCTATGGAAATCTAAAATAATTTATCATAGTTTTTGCAAAATCTAAAGATTTGAATCTTCAATGATCTTTCGAGTTTCCAATGCTAATTAATAATCAAGATTTCAATAGGTTATATTAATTTATCTTAAATAATTAAAATTGTAATTATTAAAATATTATAATAATATATTTATATCTTTAAATAACTCATTTTAATTATTAACAAATATTATAATAATTTAATATAGGTTATATTAACACTTTAATATGGCCGCACGTGTATGCAGTTATTTTTCAAGAATTAATTAAAAAAAAAAAACAATTATTGTCATTCACGAAAAAAAAATTAACGTAAAACAAAAAACAACAATTTAACAACAAAATTAATTATATATATGTATAAAGTTATAAAAAAATAACGGCCAATGTTCTGACTATCACACACATGTTGTGTGAGCGGCCATTAAAGTATTAATTACTATTTTAAATATATTTCCCTGAGTATTAAAATTCATTATCAATTTTCATCATTGTTTTGTCACTTTTATCAAAATAAATAAATGTTTGTAGTAGTTGTTGTTTTGATCTTTCTAGATGCAGTTACGAAGTCGGCCATGTTTTTCCTCGCGGCTACGTCGTTGCTGGTAATCGCGGAAATTTGTTATTTTGCCGCACACATTACTCATCCAAGGCACAGACTTTGTGTCTTCGTAGCTGGGGTAGTCTTCATTGTTTCCGGTAAGTCATTGGATGAGATAAAATCAAATTCATTCATTTTACACGTTCGTACAATAATAATTATCACATACAATGTTGAAAAAGGGATAGTACGATTGGATAGTGAGAATACGTATTTTTGAATTTTCAACTATTCCAACAGGATTACTCATGCTGGTTGGGATGGTCATGTACATATCAATTTTCAAAGCCGAAGTTGGTAGCAAACTTAGGCCGCGATCATCTTTTCAGGTAAATTTCATTTAGATTAGGACTCATATATATATATATATATTTTCGAACACACATATTTTACCCTTTTTTATATGACAAGGGAGAAAAAAAAAATTAGACAAGTTTCAAAGCTTGATGATACTTTTTCGTATTACAGGGACCTCCTTTCACGTATAGATACGGGTTTTCATTTCTGTTGTATGTGAGTGGCTTCATCACAACCGAGGTGGCTGGTACATACGCTATTTTTCTATATATCTCCTGGCACCAACGAGAATTGGTACGAAAGGACTTGAGACGCAAAAATTATGGGGTTGGTAGTATCGGCTACTTTTTTTTTTATTATTATTATTATGATGATGATGATGATGTTGTAATCACATCATCTGCCAGAAATCTTTTTTTTTGTTTTAAACACAATTTATGACAAAAAAGGAAACGGTGTTTAGACGACTAATTCAAATTGAACAAACAAAAATAATAATAAACAAGATGTCTTTTTCTATCCTTGAATGTTCGGATACAACAGGGTGTTTATCACTTGGACAATCATCACGCAAATCATGCCAACCATGCGCCATTAGCTCATGGCAACTTTATCTGTGAGAGACATCAGAAAAGATATTTCTTTGGAAGGGATTCCGTCGATTATGTCGATTTCGATGAATTTCTACCACCACCACCTAACTTGGATCATTACGATTATTACAGACAGTTTCCAAGAGATCTAACTGCCCTAACGGTAAGTGAAACAATCGAATAAAAGTTCTTTCAGTCGAAATATAATAAAACATATAACGAAGCACGAGAGAGAGAGAGAGAGAGAGAGAGAGAGAGAGACTACTATCCGTATAATCCGGATCTGCTAATATTTGGCTGCTCATCCTCCAAGAAGTTTCCATTTCTACCAAACTCTCTCTTTTTTCCTTAACCCCTCACCTCCTTAACCCCTCACCTACCCAACCCACAAACCCTCCTTTCTTTATCTCGAGTCTAGCTCCAAGAAGAAGGTGAAAAAAGATCGTATAGGTAACCTTAGCAACCGGTGATAATCCGGCATTTGATACTCCATTTTAGATTTCTACTCGTTCTCGAAAACGACCTTCCAGGTGAGCACGACGGCGGACATACTGCAGCAGCAGCAGCAGCAGGAGGAGGAGGATGCACCGGAACCAGACACGGATTACAGTCCAAGCGTCCGGCATGAGTTCGTGACCTTTGACCTCGAGGATCCAGCACCACCACCAACACCCGTAAGAGGCTCCGACTGGGCCTTCGCAGCTCTCAGAAGAACAACTCCCGTCTGATATAGCGTCAGGTATTTATTTCATTTATCCCCCCTATCATGCTTTTATCACAAAAGTAGAAATATTATCTTCCATAGTTGTTACATGCTGATTTTCTATTTTAAGAAATGTACAAATACAAGAGAGCCTTTATTTTTATCAGTTTGGTTTGTTGTTGTTGATGTTGCTGCTGATGAACTGTAAGATTACGAGATATCATATTAAAATTGTTTTTAGTTAATGAAAAATGTTCATTTCTTTCTGGTAGCTGTATATATATATATATATATATGTATATGTAGAACTCTTTTCATTAATTTAAGTGATGTCTCCATAAACATGCAATATGAGGTATACATATTCGAAAAGTATTCATATTTTAATAAGCGCCATGTTACAAATGTGTGCCTCAGCTTAGAATTATTTCCTAATATTAAATATTTGCCATTTAAACTTTGAATTCTATAGATCTACCTACATCATTTCAAAGTTTACCATTGAAAGTTCTCGTTACGCTAATCTCCGTCGAAAATTTGTCATTTAATTGAGCATGGATTAAATTTGCTATCCTCACGAATCGATTTTCATCCTAATACTGGATGAATATTGACATATCAATTACAGTTTCATACTCGATTTATGGTTAGATAAGAGTTTTCTTTTTGTTGTTGTTGAAGTAAAAACTTCTTTAGAATGGATGTGATTTGAAAAAATGAAACGCGATGATGTAGTGGGGGGGGGNGGGGAAAGACACGGCCTTAATTTCATATAAAATATTAAATATTATTTTTAAAATATGCATAAATTAATTACAATATAAGAGTTCAATTTTTTATCATTATTTATGAAAATATTTCATTTGCAAATATTTTTTAAAGTGTTTCATTATTTACTTTCTTAGTATTAGAAAAATACGCGCCTGTATGAATGCAACCCTCCAGACACACTTTAAAAAGATAGGCAACCCGTCATACATACGTGCATAAATAGTTTTGACTGGGAAAAAAAATTCCGTCCCAGTAGATGACGCTCGCAAGCAACATTTTCAAACTGTGTCTGGAGGGTTGCATACGAACAGGCGCTCATTTATTATAATTAAATAAATAATTACAGATTAAAAGTACAAATAATATTATATAATAAATTGTCTTTGAAATTTGTTTATTTAAAGGTTATACTTCTAACTAGTTTGATATGCAAATTATGTTTATTCAATGATTTTTTTGATCATTTTGTTTCTTATACAACACTCTTCATCAATTAGATATTTGATTTAATTAAATAAATGTAGTTTTGTAGATGTAAAAGTTATATTACCACTTTGTCACATTTTTTTTACTGTATTTTTAAACTTTATACGAACATACTGAAAAAGAAAAAAAAAGAAAAAGAACAAAAAGGTATCATTTATTACTATCCAACAGTTCAGTTCTATGTCATTCGTAGTCTCTGGAATTTTCCCCTTTACAATTCGGTAAATGGTGCGGTCGATTCAGATAGAATGTGAATCTTTGGAATGTGCAACAAAAGCATTTCAACAGTTTACAGTTTTCCTTTTGAAAAAAGTTACAAACAATTTCGAACCATTGTATTATATAAAAATACATTTACAAGTAATTCTATTAATAGTTATTGAACCACCCGGTATATGTAGATTCTTGGACGTTTGTTAAATTAATGTGCAATAAAAGCATTTCAACAGTTTACAGTTTTACTCTTGAACAAAAGGTTACAAACAATTTCGAATGATTGTATTATATAAAAATACATTTACAAGTAATTCAATGAATAATTATTGAACCACCCGGTATATGTAGATTCTTGGACGTTTGTTAGATTAATTATCTCCAACTTCGTTATCCACAAATTGATCGTCCTAAAGTTTCTAATTATCCAATAGGTATGCGAGGTTGGTGCAAAACGTCGACTACGATGACATGAATGATGACATCGATGACGACGACGACGATGACGATGACGACGACGAAGATGAAATGGATGAGAAATTGGACAAATGTATGGTAGAGGAACAAGAGGATGTTTTAATGTTGGACAAAAGCTGAAAATGATGATTCGGAATTATAAACCGAAAAGCAAATCTTTCGTTTGGCCTATTGGAAATCGTACGAGACTGTTGAAAATATAAATTTTGGGACAATTCCTTTGTTGAACTACGAATAAATGGCACAAAGTGTTTAAAAAAAAAAAAAAAAGAAAAAATGGAAATATCCGTGGGTTGACACTTGATGATAAAAGCCTTGCGATTTAATCTGAAAATATTAATCGATGATAAATTGAATGAATATCATCACGCAATTAAATATGGACGAATTATTTATATTCTCATTTATTGCAATATTTGCACACACACAAAAAAACAATTGTGCAAGCTGTGCGCGATTCTTTTTCACCTTATTTAACATTGTATATATATATATATATATATGTATAGGTATTATGATATATATATATATATATACAGGCACTAGAAATAAATGAAAAAGTAAACGTTCTATCTCGCAAATATTGCAGTCTGCCAGAGTTTTTGTTTTTTTTTGGTACTCATAAAAAAAAAAAAATAAAAAAAACCCTGACAGTCTGTGCAGAATAAAAATGTCTTCAAAGATCTTGTCATAATTCGTCGTCGTATCGGAAAAAAAAAAAAAACAAAAAAAACAAAAATACCGTCCTACCTAAGATCAGTATGAAGACAACAAATGATTCTACTTGTATCGATGACTAATGTTTTTCTTTCGTCGGTAATATTAAGTGGATCGGAAAGTAATGTCACTTGTTAACCTCAAAATTCAAACTAATACATTTTTTCCAAACGAACAATTTTTTTTTTATTATTAATCAATAATTACATTATTTAAATTAAAATCTTTTTCTATCTGATATGCAAATTTTTCAAGAAAACCATAAAAAAAATCATCACAATTGATTTTTTTGATTGAAAATATTAGAAATAATTTGACGTGCGTAGTAACGACGCCATTACTGTTCGGATCCTCCTAAATACAATGCAATGCAATACAATGTACAATTTTTTTTTTTAACTGGAAATTAAATATTCAAAAGATGACTGATATATGAAAATAACTTTAAATGTATTTTGTTGAAGGCCTAGTAAATATTTAATAGAATTATTTATATGTTAGGTTGATTTACAATTAACATTGTATTACTTTGTTTCTTGTTCATATACTGCCATGAAATGCAAAACAAAAACAAAAAATAAATAAATAGCCGCCTGCTTCGTAGATCGAAGTTAACTTCAATATTACGTACTCAGGTATTAAAGTCGACTGAAACTCACTAACAATAAGATTAGATGATACACATTTATTGTTAGAATCAACCGACTGTTCTGAAATAGTTATGAATATACATTAGTCATATATACATCAGTCACGCAACAAGATGCTTGATGAGTATTGGGATCTCTGGCAGGGACGTGGCGTAGCAATTCGACCTATCTACTCTAATTTTGAATTTAGCCACTAGATAGCGTATTCAAGTGCTAGAGATCCCAAGGGATCTCTGGCAGGGGCGTGGCGTAACAATTCGACCTATCTACTCTAATTTTGAATTTAACCACTAGATAGCGTATTCAAGTGTTAGAGATCCCAAGGGATCTCTGGCAGGGGGCGTGGCGTAACAATTCGACCTATCTACTCTAATTTTGAATTTAGCCACTAGATAGCGTATTCAAGTGTTAGAGATCCCAAAGGATCTCTGGCAGGGGCGTGGCGTAGCAATTCGACGTATCTACTCTAATTTTGAATGTAGCCACCAGATAGCGTATTCAAGTGCTAGAGATCCCAAAAATGATATTCTTTTGAGAATATTACGAGGGTTCATTTGAATTTCGGATTAAATTGAAGAGCATATTTTCAAATCGTTTTATAAATCGAATTTTATTTTTTTATATCAAGTTTTTCTATGAAAATTCAAACAATTGTCGAATATAAATTATTTTATAGTGTTGCCAAGTATGCTATTTGAATTTTAACGTTAGATATACCACCATTTTCATTATACCACACTAGTCAAAATGACTGGTGTATGTATAAACAAAAATACTTTTTGAAGCTTCCAGTCTTTATTTACTCTTAAAAAAAAATAACAAAAAAATCTTTAGAGACAATAATAATTTTAATAGATAAATGTCTAAAAAATTCATTTGAAAATTATTTACAGAAATAAATTAAATACAGAAATCAAATGTTTGTTCACATGAAGAAGTAGACATTTTGAATTAAAATGGCGTCGTCAAGCAGTCAAAATGACTGATTTGGTATATCTAGCGTTAAATAATTATACGATAAGTAAGAATTTACAGTTGAAAAAAAAAACAAATATCATATCAAATAATTGAATATAATTCTATTGAAGTTTAATTTCAAATAATAATTGTAGAAATACTGTGATTTTCATAAGTAATAAATTTAAAAAGCGTTTTGGAAATAAGCTTTTCTTATATATATATATATATATATATACAGTAAAAAAAACGTAATTATATTCGTTATAATATAGCGCCTATGTACTTATGCAAATAACATCTCTTCGAGCATGCAATTGTTGATAATTTAAATATTGTTATATATATATATATATATAAATAACAATTTAAAAAGTCGTGTATAACGTTTAAATCGCGTGGACTAGCTGTAAACATAAGATTTCTATCCTGTATCGAATATGATGATAAAAAGCATATACCAATTATACACAAATTGTAAACTATTTGAAAAATTCGGAAATGGTATCAACAAATGATTACTATAAATTTTTTACAGACATATTTGAATAATTTTGAAAAAAAAACAACAAAAAAAATTATCAAAATCTCACTCACCATATTTGTCTAACGAGACAACTTACTACTGTAATTACAAACATGTAAAACTAATTAGGTAATAATTTTAACAATTACTATTAAATATCAATAATTTTGCGATGAAGTGAAATTTTATTAAAAAAAAACAAAAAACAAACAAAACAAATGTATTACCAATTTAAGGTTAGAATATCCCCTATATCTGGTAATATCTTGGAGAAAAAAACCAAAACCGTATTATATTACAATTATTAATATTTTCCATTTGTATATTTTGTTTATTATGAATTAATGAAATCAAAAATCGTATTGCCGAATTGAATTGAATTGAATTGAATTGAAAAGATTTTTGAAAAAAAAAACAAAACAAAACAAAACAAAACAAAAAATATAATAAAAATAAAATAATCAATAGTATAATATCAGGGTATTTTTATAAAGTATATTATATTATTTAATTAACACTAACGCGATATTTTCTAATCAAATATTATCCGTCGACAAACAAAAAAAAAAACAAAAAAAACAAAAAAACAAAAAAAAAACAACAACTAACGAACAGTAACAAATTTTTATTGTACGATTTGACGTAAGAAATTTTTTTGGTTTTTGTATTAATACAAATCACCATATTTGTATTAAAAATATTATTGGAAAGAAAAAAAAAATAAATAAATAATAATACGATTTAAGAGACATACGTTTTAGTCATAAATAAAAAAAAAAAAAAAAAAAAAAAAAAATACATATAATTAAATTAGTACGTAATGTAAAATTTGTTGTTTGTCTTTAATGGTGATAAAGCTTGTCCAAACTTTACTGTTTATACAATAAAGGTTCATCATCAAAGCATTGATTTCATTGTATTATTTATTGTTTTATCTTTGAAACAATAATTATTATTATTATTATTATTATTAACGTGTAAGAGTAATAATCAAATGATTGATTATGATTGGTTTTGTATTTTGTAATATTGAATTAATAAAACTACTATTGATCAGTTTATTTGACTATGATCTCAGTCATTTTGTGAATGAGTATTTTTTCTTATTTTACAATTAACGTAAATAGGAAAAATAAATTCGACTTTTCTTTGTTTTTTTTTTTTTTTTTTTTTTATACGCCTAAACATTATTTAATTGAATCGCGAAATGAGAAGAGTGATTACATTTATTATATGAGAAATAAATGTCTTTTTTTTTTGTTTTTTTTTTTTTATGTAAGAACGCTTCAACAGTCATTTCAATTTGTTCAAATGAACAATTACAAAATTGAACAAACCGAAGAGGAATTTTTTCATTTTGAGCAAAAACCTTCTTCCATCACCAATTTTCGCAAAACCGATCTGTAATCGCAAAACTCTGTATAGAAATTTTCTTTTTTTTTTTTTTTTACATTAATATTTCAAATATTATTTTGTATTACAAAAAAAATCATCAAAATATGCTCATTGGTCTCATCTCTTGGTCTCTTTTGTTGTTTTTTTGTTATTGTTGTTGTTGTTGTTGTATATTTCACATTTTTTTTTTAATTTTTTTTTTGGAAGACATTAGCAGCATATTTTTCGTACGCTATTTTTCTATTTCATTTGTTCGATAGAAGAATATAAATTAAATAATTATTTGTGCAAAAAAATATTTGCAAACATTTAGAGTTTCATTATAAAGTGATGTTTTTTTTTTCTTTTTAGATAAATTTGTACAATTTTTTTTTTTATCAATTTTTAATTACATTAGTAGATTGTCTTATAAATATTATTTTTTTGAATATTAAACAAACTGACAAAATTATTTACAACGATATCAAAAAGAATATCGTTTTATTATTATTATTATTATAAAGTATTGCACATTTTGAAAAAGTGTGTGTGTGTTTTTTTTTTTTTTAGTAAAAAGCCTTCTTTTTATATTGAAAAACACATTTATGAAAGAGAGGCAGTGTGTGTGTGTATCGATTAACTCTTTGCGGCATAGAATTTCAGATAATAATAAAATAGTCCTATGTTGCATAGAGACATTTGATTACGTTTTAAATTAAACAAAATTGTGATATATTTTTTATTAATAAAAATATTGCATATAATGTAATAATGTAAAAACATTAAAAAAAAAAATAAAGGAGTTAATAACCAATTGTTTTGTATAAATAAGACAAAATATAAACTTATGAGCATGTGTATCTATTGCAATAATATTTCAAGATGAAACTAAAAATGTCCCACCTCAAAAAGGTTGGACACTTTTAACCCTATCGTGCCCCAAAGAATTAACAGGGACGTCTAAATACAAATACAAAGTATAGAATTACGAATCACCCTTTATATATAAGATTCGTATCGAAGAAAAAAAGTGTGAATGAGTTAAAACCGTTGAAAAGTTGACGGACATTTTGATTATTCAAAATTTTTCCATAAAAACAACACAACTATGAAACCAACCCCTCCCCAAGCTCTTCCTCTTGAAATTTTCACAAGTAACAATTTGTCAAATGTTAATAAATTAATTTATTTGTACGTCATTTCATTTCATTAACGAGATTATCTATTTAATTCTATTTATAAATATATTACACTAGGGGTGCTGCCCCGTCACGCGTTGCTGTGACTACTCTCACAATCAGTCCGATACACACGTCTTTAAATCAACGAATTACCTTATACCGCCATCTGTTAGAATGATATAAACTATCCTATCTTTCAAGTTGAATGAAATTGCACAGTGTGTGCAAAATTTGATCAAAATTGGTTCAGTAGTTTAAGAGTTCATTGCGAACAAACAACGTGACACGTAATTTATATATATTAAAATATCCTATCTTTTAAGTTGGATGAAACTGTACACAGTGTGCAAAATTTGATTAAAATCGGTTCAGTAGTTTAAGAGTCTATTGCGAACAAACAACGTGACACGTAATTTATATATCAATATATTTATAAAATTATTTCAAATTCGTATTACGAACGTGTCAATTTGTATTAAGATAATTCTAATGATAATATTATATATATATATTTTTCTTATATAAAGTATAAAAGAGAAGTTTTTCTTCTATTAATATTATAAACATTCCAATTGATAAGATTATTGAAAATTCTTCTTCTTAAATTTGTTTTTACATTGTAAAATGTTAATTGTAATTTACGAGGTATTAATTAGAGGATATGTTTAATATCGATCGGTTTTCGAACCCTTCTTCTTCTTCTCTCTTTCTTTCACACATCATATTATACACATACATACACACACACTCACACACATACATACATATTTCTCTCTGATGACCATACACACAAATACATTTGACAAGTATACAGGTAAAGTGATAAAACGAACTTAAAACGCTCGTTTTTGTGATATTATAATACATCATTGAAAATTGTACTTTGTCGTACATAATATTATAATAATAAAACAATAGATATATGTATTTATTTACACATATATATATATATATATATATATATATATATATATATAATTGCACTGGTATGTGTAATCAAAGCGATGCATCAATCCAAAGTAATATGAATATTAATTAATAAAATAATTAATAAGTTCATTGTGCTTTTT